TCCCAGCCTCCACTCCGGCTCCGCCGCCGTTCCGGGCGCTGGCGGGGCTGCGGACGCTCAAAGAATAGATCCTCATTAGCATCTTGCTTTGAATATCATTTGCATTTTATTCATTTCACGTCAAAACGCTCAGAACTCTCCCTAGCCCGCACCTCTCCCCAGAGCCTGAGTCGTGGGCCTCTAGCTCCAGCCTTTCCCCGGTCGGCCGCCCACTTGCTGGCTGCTCCTACCCCCCCTCCCCGGCGCGTGGCCCCAGCACCATTAACCACCCACAGCCCCCCAAAGAGCCCGCCGCCCCCGAGCTCTCGGTAAATTCCAGGCCCCCCGCTCAGGGGTTATGTGAACGGTCTCATTGAGTCCTTACCACAACCCAAAGAACTAAGCACCGCGTTGTACCCATTTGAGAATCGGGGAAACTGAGTCACAAAGACTATTTGCTGAAGATCATGGAGTTTTTTTTAAAAAAGGGGGCGGGGGAGAAAGCGGAACTGAAATCCCAGGCCAACCGGCGCCTAAGCACAAAACTTAACCATTCGCCGCCCGCCTCTCTCACGGTCAAAGCTAAGGTAACCGCGACTGGAGAAAGTCTGTTTTCCTACGAGGAGGAAAGTCCTTCTGGGCCCCGCCGCGACCCTTCCCCCAACCCGGCCGCGGGGGGGCCTGGGCGCATTCCCTCTCGCCGGGCCGACCCCAGCCCTGACCCCTTCCCAGCGAGGGCTCGGCGGGTCCGGCCGCCGCGCTCTAGGGTCGTCTGTCGGCGCGGGCTAGTTAAGAAAAATAAACAACGTTCCAAATGGAGGCGATTTCTTTCAACCCGAGCCCCGCCGCCTGCCAGAGAAATGCAAACAGCGGGGGACGGCCGAGTCGGCCGGGCCTCCGCGCCCGAGCTGCGGGTGGGAGGGCCGGGCCGGGGTAACCCGAGCCGCCGCGCCGGCTCCCCGCGCGCTGTCCTCCGCCTGCCCCTTCGCCCCTGACCCCGACGGCGGCGCGCCCGCCTCGCGCCCGCCTTCCCCGGCGACCCCCACCGGGCCAGGACCCCTGCACGCCGGCCTAGGCTCTCCAAACTGCCCTCCCCCAGGGCTCGGCTCGGCCCCACTCGGACCCGCCACCCGGGCAGCAACCCCCCCTCCAGTCCCGCTTCCTCGCGGCCGCATGGCTCCTGTCAGCCACGTTCCCCAGGGGAGGCCGCGCGCCAGTCCTTGGTCCTGGGATCATTAAACACCGAGAGAGAGAGAGAGAAAAAAAAAAAAAATGGGCAGGGGTGTCCGAAACCCGCCTAGCAAACTGTTGTCCAGTGAGTGCCTCGGGACGGGGGTCTATTTTCAGAGATAGGCCGCCGCGGGCCGGGCGAAGCTGCAGGGGTAGCGTCTGCTGCAGCGGGTGCCCCGCCGGGATGACCCGCCGGTGAGCCAAGTTCCTCTCCTGGAGCCAGGTGTCCCCCGGTCCTTCGCCTGGAAGAGCCTGCGTGCCGGGCCGCCAGGGGGAGCCGATGGACGCGTGAGGATGACCCGCTCGCATCCAAGTACCACTTGGAGGGCGCGCGCCTGGGCGTGAAGTCCACACACGGCTAAACTTCATCTGTATTGCTGCGCGAATGGCTTCAGGGAGTACGTGGGGGCGCGGGAAGGTGTCTCCAACAGTCCCCGGGGCCGGGCGCGGGACTCAGAAGGAATCCCGTGCCGGGCACTGTGGCCTCACGACTCGGCGAGGAGGTCGCCGAGCCTCCGACTTGGCGGCCCCCCGGGTGAGGGTGACCCAGGGATTCACGGGGCCCCACTCCTCTCGGGACACGAGGCAGGCACCCTCCAGGCCGCCATCAGCGGGCCCGGGCTTTCGGGGCCTGGAGGACTGGAGAGGAGCAGCGCGCACCCGCTTCCTCCGAATTCCTTCATTTCAAAGCTGGGCTGCGCCCAGGGCCGGGGAGGGGGCGGGAGGAGGGGGTGCCCGAGAACGCTTCCTTCTGTTTCGTAAGACTCGGGGACCAGTGATGTCGGGGCCCCACGGACTTCTGGCTGCCTTTACCCCCGGTGCCTGCATCCCCCTCTCTAGGCGGCCAAGCGGCCTCCCTGCGCGGCGCTGACACACGTGCGCACTCGCGAACCACACACTCGCCCGCATTTCCAAGTCGGAGGGCGACGGGGTCCCCCCACGCCGCGGCGGGGCGCGGCTGTCGGCTGCGGCAGCTCAGACACCTCTCGAGCTCCCGGTCTTGCTTTTCCCCAAGTCCCGGCCCGAGCAGCCACCGGGACGCGTTAAGTGTGCGGGGACTGCTCGCGGGCCTCCACCTCCTACCCGCACGCACACACGTATACGCCCGCACTCGGGATTCCGTCTCACACTTTCGTGCAGGGGCGAGAACATTCTTCTTTCCTCGAGGACTCCCCATCTGGATTGCGAGCGGGTATTTTTTCCCCATTGTAGTGAAAGGGGAAGGGGAGTTTGCTTAGAGGGTAAGGGAGGGGGTGTCGACATGAACCGCACCCGCCATCCCTCCCAGCTTCCTAATTCGGCTCCTTTCCGCCCGCGGACACCGAGCAATTCGGCCAAGAAAGAATGCGTCCTTTTGGTTCCTTCGAAAAGGGCCACTTTGGAGACGGGCGATGAGCCTGCGCCGCCCGAAGCCGTCCCCCTTCCCTGGCATCGCTCCCGCCCGGCCGGCCCGCAGACTTGACTTTAAAGAGGCCCCGAGGGAGCAGGTTTGAAAGCCCAGCTCCAAGTTCCCGGGCAGCGCTTGACAGGTCAGCCCCTCGCTCCCCTCCTTCCTCCACCCCCACCCCGCCTCCCGCCGCCCCCTCCTCCCCGCACCCCGACCCGGGGGCGAAGACGCGGCTGACAGTTAAATTGCGCGGAGTAGGCCGAGGGGGGAAAGGGACCGCGGCTCTTTAACGGCCCCGCAGACAAAGCGCCTCCCCGAGCCGAGCCGAGCGCAGCCGCGCGCAGACCTGTCAGCGCGTCTCCCGCGTTTGGGAGAGAGTTTGCAAAGTCATAATTATATCTCTTAACCTGTCTTGCTCTCTGCAGAAGAAGGTCCCATTATATTGAAATGAGATTATTAGCCATCAAATACTTTCTTTCTTGGGAGGTTTTTTTTTTTTTTAATTCAAATACCTTAACAACTTGGCAATGCATTTTGATCAGATCTCGTTGGCGCCCCAGCCCGGCGCGGGAGCCGGGGCGGGAAGGCAGCTGGCTGGGGAGGGAAGAGGGGGTGCCCCCAAGAGTTTGCAAAGGAAGGAACCCCTCTTTTGTCCTCCTCTTAGGTCTCGCCTACCCGGTGGGGACCTGGAGGCCTGCGGCGGGGGTGTGAAGTCAGGGAAGTTGGCTTCAGCACGCCACTTCGCTCAGAAGGAAGCTTAATTTCGGGCGGAGGATGTGGACGGTGGGCGGAGACCGGGAGGCGGAAGTTGGAGGGCCGCAGAGCAGGGGTGGGTCGGAGGCACCAGGTGAGGACCCGGGCCGGCGCTGGCAGTCGCGGGCTTTGCTGTTTCCGCTGGAGGTTGGCTCAGGCTCCCTCCAGGTTCCTGGTGGATGGAATTTCAGTGCGTAATAAATGGGGGTTAGCTCTGCGCCCAAGGTCTGTCTGGTTTTACCAAAGATTGTGAGCCCCTTGAGGGGGAAGCCCATCTTGTTTCCAGACCTTGGAACTCCTGTCCCTACTGCCAGCAGGTCCCCCCCTACCCCCCACTTTCCCCTGGACTGGGGGAGGGGGATGTGAGGTGGAAGATTTTCCAGACTCTAATTGTAAAGCCCCTCACTTTGACTTCCCCTGGTGGGAGGAGCGGCCAGGCTTGTGTTTTCCTTGGCTTCAGCCCAGACTCAAGGAAAATGTAGGGAGCAAGACAGCTCCCCAGTCCCACCTCCCCCACACACTCTCAGCTCTCAGCTTTATATAGTCCTGGTGGGTCCCGGCTGCACCAAGCTCCACCCCCTCACCTTCCAGATGAGCACCTCTCTTCAGGTATTCAGAAAGCAAAATGGGGGTCCAGCGCCCAGAAACTTGGCTTCTAGGCCACGCTAGAACCCCACCACCTTGCCTCTGAGCCTCAGTTTCTCCAGGTGCATAATGAAAGCCTTGGACCTGAGATCTGTACGGGCCCTCTCATCTCTGACGTTATTCTCCTATAAAGAAGGTTCCTCGGGTAGGCGTGGTCATCTGGAAAATTCCAAGGAGGCCATACCTCCATCCCCCTTGCCCCATCTCTTCAGAAAAGCAGTCGGGGGAGGGGGCAGTGAGAGCATTTTATTTAAAAGCTTCCAAATACAAAAGCTGGGAGGACTAGGCAGTGTCCGCTTAAGCTGAAGCATGCTCACCTGCGACCCAGCAGGTCCATAGGCAGGCATCGCCCCAACAGAAATGGAAACTGTTCACCAAGGACATGTGCTAACGCTCACAGCGGAGCCCTGCACAGGAGCCCCAAACCGGAAACTCCCCGATGTCCGTTAGCAGTGGAATGGGTAAAGGACCTGCGCTAGCGTCACACCACGGAATATTACAGAGGAAAGAGAAAGCATGAACCATCGCTGCGCCAGCAGCACGGATGGTGCTCACAGTGTCGGGCAGAAGCAGCCAGCCACCAAGAACGACACACTCCACGGCCCCACTGAGTAAAAGTACACAAACAAGCAAAATGAATTCATACCCTTGGAAGGCGAGATGGTGGTTTCTTCAAGAGAGGGGGACTGGAAGGGAGGGAGGTTTCTGGGCCCAGGGTGATCTTCTGATTCTTAATCTGGTTACAGAGGTGTGCTCCGTTTGTGAAAATTCATTGAGACACGCACCTACGTTAAATGCATTTCGTGGGTATATATTATATTTAAGCCTCCGCTTGGAAATTCCTTCTCCCCAGTTCTCAATTTCATGCACAGACTCACACATTCTAATGTCCCGAACTCAATTTTGGCAGGAAATCAATAACTAAAGTCATATTCGGTCCTCCGGCCCTGTACTCAGCACCATGGATCATCCATAAATGCACTTGAGTCTCTGCCCTTCAAGGGTTTGCAGTTGAGTTTGGGAGGAAACACTTGAGGAAACGTCCAGTGGGTGAGTGAGTGGTTTATGAGCCTGTGAGCCAGACAGCCAGCCTGGATTTTCATCCCAGACCCACCACTTGCCAGCTGTGTGACCTCGGACAGGCGACTTCACCTCTCTGGGCCCTAGTTTCTGAAATATGGAGAGGACCACACATGCATTTACTCACAGGGCTGTTGTGAAGATTGTATCAGATCGCCCATGCAACAGCACAGGGTAAGTGCTCCACGGATGTTAGACACTGTTCTCACCTGTGTGTGGCAGCCTGGGCCGCTCAACCTTCAGAGGGAGATGAGTGTGAGCTGGGAGCAGCCGGAGGGCCTGCCGAGGGAGGGACTATGTGGTCTGGGAGAGGCTGATGGAAAGGGGGCTTTAGGAGACCATTTGGAGCCAGGGTTCTCAGCCAGAGGCTGCTCCCCTCCAGGGGACACTCGGCTATGTCTGGAGACACTTCTGGCTGTCACAACTCGGGCCGGGCTGGCGGTGCTGCTAAGATCTAGTGGGTGGAGGTCAGACATGTTGCTAATCGTCCTACAATGCACAGGGCAGCGCCACAAACAAAGAACTATCCAGTCCAAAATGTCATGGTGCCACGGTTCAAAAACCTGGATCTGGGGGACAGCGAGGACTTGGTGGCGAAGGCCAGGCTCTCCAGGAGAGAGGATGGTGAGTTCTGGAAGCCCTGATGGGAACTGAGCAGGGGCGGCATTGGGGGTTGCCCAGAGGGTCCCTGTTTCCATCTTTCATGTCTCAGGCTGCACGCCCCTCATTCATCTCAATTTCAGAACTTACTATGGGTTAGGAGGCTCATCCTGGACCTGGAATTTTTTAAAAATATATTTTCATTGATTTCAGAGAGGAAAGGGGAGGGAGGGAGAGACAGAAACATCAATGATGAGAGAGAATCATCGATCCGCTGTCTCTTGCATGCCCCCTATTGGGAATTGAGCCCACAACCCAGGCATGTGGCCTTGACCGGAACTGAACCTGGGACCCTTCAGTCCCCAGGCTGATGCTCTATCCACTGAGCCAAACCGGCTAGGGCTGGACCTGGATTTTTGCTGCTCTCAAGAGACACTTGGATAAAGCAGATCGGATTCTCATACAAAGCTGATGTGGAATTTTAACTTTCTTTCACAACAGAAGCCATTAAAATAAAACATAAGAAGGAATAAAAAACATTTTGTCTGTGTCTTCAGCATCACACACAAGTTACCTTTACGGTTCAGTTTACTATATAGAAATCATTTGGGTTTGGAGGTTTGCGAGGCCATGAGCATCAGGTCTGCCTTGAAGCCACAACAGAGGGAACCCCCAAGGTCTCCGGGGCTCAGAGGAGGAGGCACCTGTCCACCTTCACGCAGTGCAGCTGGGAATGCAGCTCTGCCCAAGGGCTCTGTTCTCGATGCCCAGCATCAAGGGTGACAGATATTGATTAAATAATTGAGAAGGGGAAAATATGACACTTTTTAAAAGTCAAAAGGAAAGTTGGCACTGAACTTCAGAAGTGCCCAAGAGAATTATGTGATTCTCCAGCGGCAAGTATAATTCTAGGCCCTAAAACCATGCTTCATAGCCATAGAGTTCTGGAAAAGAGGGATTTAACTTTGATTAACCTAAAAATGTCTTTCCTGAAGCAATGGCGATATGCCAGGCATGTTCTAAACACTAGGGCTGCAGCAGGGAACCGCAGAGCAAAGCAAGCCCTCATGGGCATATACTATATACAGGGGGAGGGGGAGGATCGATAAGACAAGGTATAATGCTACACCAGACATTAAAGTGAGCATCTATGAGGGGTCGGGTGTTCTTTATAAATCTCCTCAATTTCATAAGAAACTACAATAGAAATTCCTTCTCCCAATTTAAGATGGAGAAACGGGTTCAAAGAAGGTAAGTGACTTCCCCAAAGCAGACTGACCAATAAGTGGAAGACTCAGGATTTGGACTCAGGATGGCAAGATATAGCCAATTCATGACAGAAAACGCTAAGTAACTTCTAGGGAACCTCCTTGATTGGATAAAGACTACAAACAAGCGAAACCCCACTGCAAGCATCAGATTTAGTGATGAGGTAATGAACGCTTCCTCCTTGACATAAGGACCAGATATGGGTGTCCACTCTCAGCATGTCTATTCAACACTGCGTGAGCCATCTTAGCCAGGACACTGAGGCAAGAAAAGAAAGGGAAGTCTCGCGGATTGGAAAGGGGAAACTCAAAATGTTGTTTATTGAAGACATGAAGTTGTACAAAGAAAATCCCAAAGAATCTGCATACTGCTAGAATAATATGTGTTTAGCCAAGTCACTGAATGTAAGTGATACACTCAGATAAGCTGCATTTCTCTATATAAAAAAAAATAGAAAATAAAGTTATAAAAAGCAATATGATAGGTTGGTAATAGCTAAAGGGTATGGGGTTTCCTTTGAGGTGATAAAATGTTCTAAAATTGATTGTAATGAGATTACACATATCTGTGAATCTACTGAAAGCCATTGAATTGTACCCTTTAAGTGGGTGAATTGTATAGTATGTGAATTCTATCTCAAAGAAGGTGTTTTTATAAAAGCTGAAGGGTAGGTTTTGCAGAGGCTCCCCTTCCCATGCTACCCCATCACCAGTAATTAAAAATTCCTTATAAAAATACAATTTACAAGAGCAGCAAACCTATCTAATGTCCAGGAATAAATCGAATGAAAACTATGCAAGAACTCAGCACTGAAACTACAAGCCCTTATTGACAGAATTTAAAGACCTAAATAAATTGAGAGAAAGGCCATGTTCACAAACCCGTAATTTAATGATATTAATTCCCAACAAACCTATCTACCAATTCAATATAATTCCAATCAAAATTCCATCAGGTATATGGAAATAGAACTCAAGTGGATCTGACTCTATGGCCCACTGGGACTGGATACTATAGAAAAAAACCCAAGCCCTAGCCGATTTGGCTCAGTGGATAGAGCGTTGGCCTGCAGACTGCAGGGTCCCAGGTTCGATTCTGGTCAAGGGAACATGCCCAGGTTGCAGGCTCGATCCCCAGTGTGGGGCTTGCAGGAGGCAGCCAATTAATGACTCTCTCTCATCATTGATGTTTCTATCTCTCTCTCCCTCTCCCTTCCTCTCTGAAATCAATAAAAATATATTTTTTTTAAAAAAAGAAAGAAAAAACCCAAGGGTCACAGTAGCCCCATACACAAGGTTATAGGCAGCCATACCTGAAAGACCATCAAGACCCTTGATCTTAAGACCAGGACCCTGGAAAGTCCAATTGAAAGTAGAATAACATATTCCCAGTTAAAATAGACCCTTACCTTACCATGTTTGCAGTAGACACAAGAGGAAAACCATAATTGACTAGACACATTTTTATTTAAACATGAATGGTAGAAAGGACTGGGGTTTATCACTTTCCACAAGTGGTGTCACTGGGGACATGGCCCCCAGCCTGGGGAACCGGCTCCCTCCCCGTGGGATATAGGAGGGCAGGGATTTCTCCGGCAAGGACTTGGAAAATGGGTAAAGAAACCCCTGAGGCCACACACTCATGGGCACCAGCGTGCGTAGTGGCAGGGCATTGCAGGAAGCTCTTGACTTGCCTTGAGGTAGCAGCGGGGACGTGGCCTTGGCCTTGGGCTCTGATGAACTCTGGGAGGATTGAGCCCTGAAGACAATCCCTGGAGTAGACGGATGCCTCTTTCCTGGTGGCAAGCTGGGGAGCATCTGAGAGGAAGGACGGGAGGGGGGAAGGGGCCGGGGGTGCAGCACTGCCTTGGTCCTCAGGCTGCATCCACAGAGGCAGAGCTCAGGGGCATGGGATGCAGTGAAGCAGGGCTCACTCCTGGATGAGCGAGAGAGCAGAGCCCCCAGGCTTTCCTCCGCCTCCCTTCTGGATTCCTTAGGGTGCCAGTCTTTCCTAAAATGGAGGAAATTTACACCAATTGAAAAGAGACTCAGAAGGAAAGAAATACAAGGGTAGAGCTCCCCTGCCCTAATACAATACACACTTTGCCTCTTTATGAGGACTTAGAGATGGATTCTACAACAGGGAATCTCTTCATTTTCTCTAAAGAGGGGGGAGGGGGGAGGGAGGGAGGGAGAGAGAGAGAGAGAGAGAGAGAGAGAGAGAGAGAGAGAGAGCTGGGGGTAAGGGAGCTGGTGGCTAGGAATACCAGTGAGCTAGAGGACTTTCCAGGAAAGGAACGGAGAGTGAAGGACAAGGAGAAGAGTCTGATTCCTTCAGGCTGAAGGATTAGTAGAAGTGCTGCCAAAGCGAGCACGTGGCTGGAGGATTAGAACACCCCCAACATCCTCTCCCAACACACACCTCTAGTGGGGAATCAGTCAAACTCACTCTTTGGTACAGTTTGGCCTGGGAACTGAAATGCAAGAAAGTCCTGGGGGGAAAGGAAAGATGTAATTGGGGAGAGAGGGGGGGAATTCTATTTTCCTACCTTTTATGGTATCTTTTTGAGTCCATGGGAGGCCATTCAGTATATATCATTGAAGGCCCCTGTTCCTACTATGATGTCACAAACGTGTTGTCACTAATAAGACCCATAGAACCCTGTGTTGAGTCACTGGGCTGTGGGCCCCATGGTGGTCCGTTTGGGTGTCCACGAGGCTTGCATACATTGCATACAATGCTGGGAGGTTGGACTTTATCCTGACGATTTGGGGGCCATTGAAGTCTCTTGAGCAAGAGCACAACCATTTCAAAATAGTCACTTAAAGAGCATGAAAGACGGATCAGGAGATCAACAGCGGACAGAACTGTCTACACCATTCTCAGGGCCCAGTACAAAATGAAAATGTAGGGACGCTGTTCAAAATTAAGTACAAACTCCAAGATGGTGACGGCAGAGCATTAAGCCAGATGTGGGACCTTTCTATGCTTGGGGCCTTTCTTAAAGCAAGAAACAGAAGCAGAACTCACCTTCAATAGAATTAGAAGGCATCACAATCCCTGAAGCACAATAAGAAAGAAAGCAGATGGCAGAATGGCACATGACATCGTGAAGAGGAGGAAAGTCAAGCCCTGCAGGAGGTATCAGGGAGAAGAAAACCCATTGGTTACAGAAAGCCTAGGAAGGAGTCAGAAATGGCAGACACCAGGTACCGCAGAAAGCCAAAGTGAGGCAGAGGGCTAGACATGGAGATTGTTTGAAACCCTGTATAAAGAAAAGAGCAGTGAGACCACTCTTGGGACCCATCTACCCACTACACCCAGCCAGTTGCACCTCCCGAACCCTGCAGGAGACCTACACTTGTCCGGGGCTATGGAATTATGCAACAAGTGAACCAGAGAGGCTCCAAAAAGGAAACATTGAGAGGCCCAGGAAACTCAAAGCAGAATCCACATGGTAAGGAACTCCCTAGACCAGTGACGGCGAACCTATGACACGCGTACTCATTTTTTTGGTTGATTTCTCTTTGTTAAATGGCATTTAAATATATAAAATAAATATCAAAAATATAAGTGTTTGTTTTACTATGGTTGCAAATATCAAAAAATTTCTATATGTGACACGGCACCAGAGTTAAGTTAGGGTTTTTCAAAATGCTGACACGCCGAGCTCAAAAGGTTCGCCATCACTGCCCTAGACCCTTTCCCATTCAGCTCCAGACACCGGCACAGGACTCCCACACAGGAGATGGGAGAAGCCTTCTCCTACCAACACTGGCATTAGGAACTACCAATAAAAACAGCCGGCGTAGCTCAGTGGTTGAGTGTCAACCTATGAACCAGGAGGTCAGAGCACATCCCAGGTTGTGGGCTCAATCCCCAGTGTGGGGCATGCAGGAGGTAGCCAGTCAATGATTCTCTCTCATCATATGTTTCTATATTTCTCTCTCTCTCTCTCTCTCTCTCTCTCTCTCTCTCTCTCTCTCGCTCTCTCTCTCCTCCCCCCCCCCCTTCATCTATGAAATCAATAGAACTACATTTAAAAAAAAAACAAAAACAGCCAGCTGGCCACCTGATCAAATCACACCAGTCCACAAGCCACCCATGCACTTCCAATCAGAAACATCCAAGAGTAATTACATATTTAAGGAAAGACTCAAACAATAAAAAAATAAAAGAAGGGGAGAACTCAGAGAAAATAGAAAATTGTAGAAAACA